GTGTATACCATCGAATCATGGCCACAAGAAGCAAGAAGCTCTTGTGCTTTGTTTTTGTGATCTTCACGGTTCTCTTGAGTTGCTGCTCCGCGACGGTATACAAAGTCGGAGACTCAGACGGATGGACTTCGAAGGAAGGCGTCTACTACGATTGGGACCAAGGTAAGGAGTTTCCACGTCGGTGATTCTCTGATCTTCGAATACGATCGCAACATTGACGATGTGACTCAAGTCTCGGGCGCTTTGGAATACCAGTTTTGCGACACTTCTTGAAAAAGTGGTTTGTGGCTAAATCTCTACGTTTGTGTTTGTAACGAGTATGTATGAGCATAAAATAAAAAACACATAGAGTTTTTTCACGAGGTTCGGTTTTTTCTACATCCCCGGGACCTAGTCCAGAATCAATCCATTAGAAAAGGCAACTACCTACAATTGCTATATGGCATACCACCACTCTTTTCTACATGGACAAACTATGAAAATAGCCCGCATGCTTCACAACCAACCAGCAGCACCGGTGCAACACCGTCTTCTCAACGGCTGCAATCTTCATAGACAAGCCACCATCAATATGGTGGGACGATGCCACACACACATATGTGCATCTCACAAAGGAACCCTAGGAGCATAACTCTTTTTGTCAACGCCTCTTGCCTTTTATACCACCACCAGGAAACCCTCACGTTTCATGTCATGTGGGCTTTTAACCTCTATCATTATTGGACTTTCTAATTCAATAAGAGGCCAATCTCACTTTTCTCCACGTGTTGGAACAGTTCCGCATGCAGCTCGTATTCTGTTCCTCCAGAAACCTCTCTTTCACTTCTTCTCCTAAAGCGGTCTACAACAGCGGACACGATGTCGTAACCCTCACGGAACCAGGGTTCAACTACTTCATCAGCTCAAATCATGCGCAATGCGCATCCGGACAGAGGATCGACGTTCTTGTCATCCATGACCCGTCACGTTCAGTTCCTCCACCACCACCGAGCAAGATCCTTCCTTTTGGAAAGATTTACAAGGTTGGTGACTCCAAAGGATGGAGCGGCGTTTACGACAGTGACTACTTGAACAAGTGGAGCGAAGAGAAACAGTTTCATGTCGGAGACTCTCTATTTTTCCAATACGCCACCGACGAAGCCAACCAAGTCTTAGAAATCAGCGGTCATCTTGAGTTCGAATCATGCGACCCGACTTCACCTGTAGCCGTGCACAAGACAGGCCACGACCTCATCAGGCTCACCAAACCAGGAGTCCATTATTTCATTAGCTCAGATTCCGGTCAATGCGAGGCTGGCCTTAAGCTACGGGTCGTGGTCGGGCCATTACCAAAAGTCGTTACTCCCCCCAATGTTCACAAGAAGATGGATTTCTCACTTAAGGACCACTTCAAGAGGTGGTTAGGCACTTTCAGATATCATCATCATCATTAAGCATTGTTTTTCTATTTTGTTTGAGAGTCCCTCTCTCTTTTTCCTTTTGTTTCGGTTTATACTAAAACTTCTTTAGTTCGTTCTTGTTTCCACTACACATGTAGAATTTCCGATTTGGTTCATTATACAAAGAGAATTAAATTTATTCCTCTGTTGTGACAAATTAGTCTAATACTTCACAACAATTTACATCGTTTTGTTCCCTTCAACAACCTTGTTCGTGTTTGTTGTTATGCAGAATTGCGAAGATAACTTTTATCTGCTTTGTGCCGTTTATCATCAATTGGATTCATAGGAAAGAAAACAAAAATTGCATAGAGAGAATAATCATGGTTGATGTTAGGTTGATGTTTATATGCTTTGTGTTATTTATCATCAATTGAATTTGTTGAGGCATTTCACGGCTTGAGGGAGCTGGCGAGGGTGGAGAAAATCTATTTCTCTAGAATTTTGTTATTGTTGATTTTAATTTGTTCAGTCTAAGTTGAATAATTGTAACCTAATTGTTTAGTATAATATGGAATGGAATAGTAATAGACTAGTAAAAAGTTGTGTCTTGTATAGAAAATGCCTTTGTGTAAAAGTTTATAAAAAGTGTCTTTGAGTGTAAATTACTCTTTACAGAAACATGCATATATTCACGGATTAATATCACTAACATCTTTGTAAGGGTAAAATGTAATTACATTAATTTGTTTTTTCTAAGTTAATAATCATGTGGCTTTAATCTCGGCGAGTTCTCCAAGACTAAACGTCTTCCTAAACTTTATCTTCAGTCTTGGTGTAAATGGCCTAATCAACAGGCTAAGTAGTTCAACAAAGACTTTGAGACCGTAATTATCCACTTCATCAAGCAGTTGATAACGAAGTAGAATATTCTTTGCCTTCTCCAACAACCTAGACTTCCATGTTTATAATTTTTTTTCTCAAACGGATCCATTGTCACTCTAACATCTTATGTAAGTTGTATGCTAGTAGTCCCTTGGGACATCCGATAAAATTGGAATGATATAGAGAAGATTATCATGGTTTCAGCGCAAAGATGACATGCACGAATCAAGAAATGGTCCAAATTTTGTTCTTTAACAAAAAAAGATCATATTTAGTAAACGAGAACTTGAGAAATGAATCAAACTGCGCAAAATTGGATAAGAGTATCATATTTACTTAAGCCCTATTTATTTTCTACCTTTATACCACAATTTACAAAAAGAAAGCAATGCAACTGGAATTTATCACACTACAAGAAAACAGGGTCGTTTCCGACGGCCAAAACCGTCGGAAATCCGTCGGAATAACCCCTATTCCGACGGTTTTCCGACGGTTTTGGTCCGTCGGTTCTATCTCGTC